GTACCGGGGCGCAGGTGAACAGAACCCTCAGGTTACTGAAGGCCCTGTCAGCCTCAGCAGACCAGCGGAGCCGGAACAGCCCACCCTTCAACAGAGATGTGATGGGAGCTGCAACTTTGCCAAAGCCCCGGATAAACCTCCGATAGTAGTTGGCAAAGCCAATAAAGCGCTGCACCTCCTTAACCGTGGTTGGAGTTGGCCAATTACGCACGGCTGAAATGCGATCTCCCTCCATCTCCACACCTGAGGTGGTAATGCGGTATCCGAGGAACGGATTGTTGGAAAAATAGACACTTTTCTGCCTTGACATAAAGGTCATGTTCCAACAGTCGGGACAGCACTTTGCGAACCAGGGACACATGCACGTGTAGCGGAATACACCAGAATGTCATCGATGTAGACCACTACACCGCGACCAAGCATGTCCCGAAACACCTCGTTCACAAAGGACTGGAAGACTGATGAAGCATTAATCAAACCTTACGTCATTACCAGGTATTCGTAATGCCCCGTGGTTGTGCTGAATGCTGTCTTCCACTCGTCCACCTCTCGGACACGCACTGATGTGGAAAATTATCACTATACTTCTTAAAAATCAAAGTTCTTCCAGAGTTTTTGTAGAATCAAGAAATACTTTATTACATAGAGCAACGAAAGCTGAGCTGGTCTGCAGAAAAACTATTGTCTACCTCTCCGCTCTCCGTTTATATAGTCATATTCACATACATCTTAGCTTAAAGCCCCTCCCTCTTTGGTTCCCCCACCACCATCCTCAGTTTCCCCCTCTCTACCGCTCCGCCCACTTCCTTAGTTGCTAAACTTGACTTTTATTCAGTTTAGAATCAATAGTAGTATAATCAATCAAGCCCTTGTCATGCAAAAAGAATAATGTTCATGTCTGTTCAACCCCGGCTCACCCTGGCTTGACCTGAAGATTGATTGTTGGACATGACAGGTCCACACTCAATCTCTCAAACATACCCAAACCCAACTCCTCTCTCCCCTCCCGTCATGCTGTAATTACTCATGATTAGTCTCAACTCTGGCTCCGTTCTCAGGACTTTGTTTGAGGAGAGAGGAATTAGAACACAGTCTGGTTTCAGTCTCTGAAAAGGTAGGACAGCCATGGATTAGGTAAGAGCAAGTAATTCGACCCAAGGTCAGATCCCCATTTCACACACACACAAACCCAGTGAAAGGAACCAATTAAGTTATTGCCTAGCAACAGAGAATTCTGACTATATGTTCTGTGATTCACTTTGTTTATCCAATAGTTTACTGAAAAATCTTCATCAGCACTAGGTTGTACGTACTCCGGAGATCTAATTTTGACTCGATCACAGATGGAATGAGGGGTAGAGGATAACTATAACGTATTGTCCCCTTGTTCAGTGCTCGGTAATCAATGCAGGGGCGCAGACCTCCGTCTTTCTTCTTCACAAAAAATTAACTTGAGGAGGCGGGCGAAGTGGAGGAACGTATGAACCCCTGACGCAGGGACTCGGAGACATATATCTCCATCGCCTCCATTTCAGCCTACGACAGGGGATACACATGACTCCTGGGAGGCACAGCCTCTACCCAGAGTTTTATCGCGCAATCCCCCAACTGATGAGTTGGTAATTTGGTCGCCTGCGTTTTGGAAAACGTGTGCGCCAAATCGAGGTATTCGGGGGGAATGCGCACGGTGGAGGTAGTGTCTGGACTTTCCACCGTGGTTGCACCAACGGAAACACCTAGTCACCTACCCTGACACTCTCGCGACAACCCGTGAGAACTCTCTGCGGCCATGAAAAGGTGGGGTTGTGTAGTGCTAACCAGGGAAGACCTAACACAACCGGGAAACCAGGAGACTCAATAATAAAAAGGTGACTTGCTCTCTATGGGTCTTGTGCGTAACCATAGTGACTGGTGCTGTAACTTCCCTAACGAACCCGGACCCTTGTGGTCGACTGTCAAGTGCTCTGATGGGGAGTGGAATGGATAGGGGAACCAATGTAATGTCTAGACTATGTGCAAATGACATGTCCATAAAATTCCCAGCTGCGCCTGAATCGACCAGTGCCTTACACTGGGGAACTACTGTGTAATCAGGAAAGTGGATGGGTAGGGTACAGTGCGCAGCAGAGGGCTCTGAACGAGTGTGGGTGTTCGATACCTGGGGTGATGCGAGACTGCCCTGCCTGCCGCCTCTAGACCCAAAAGAACGCCGAAGACAGCGTGCAGGAGAATGTCCTCTCGTGCCACTAGAGTGACACTGGCGCTGTCGTCCTCCGCTCTCCTGGATCACCGCTCCACCCAGCTCCATCAGCTCATGATCCGGGTTGGGGAGGGGTGGAACGGGCAGGCCACTTCCAGGACGTCCTCTAGCAGCCAGCAGGTTGTCCAACCGGATGGCCATGTCCACCAGTTGATTGAAGGACAACATGGTGTCCCGGCAGGCTAGCTCCCTTCGGACGTCCTCTTGTAGATGGCACCGGAAGTGGTCGATGAGGGCCCGCTCGTTCCACCCGGACCCAGCTGCTAGAGTCCGAAACTCCAGGGCTAAGTCCTGCGCGGTCCTCATCCACTGCCTCTCGCCCATCTCTCTACCTTCGGGCGGGTGATCGAAGACGGCCCGAAAGAGGCGAGCGAACTCCCCGTAGTCCTCCAATGCGGCTCCTCCTTCACTCCAGACCGCATTGGCCCACTCCAGGGCTTTCCCCGAGAGGCAGGAGACGAGGGCGGACACCTTCTTCCGCTCCGATGGAGCCGGGCTGATGTTCTAATAATATAACTCCAGTTGTAGAAGGAATCCCTGGCAGAGAGCAGCTGTCTCGTCAAAATCCCATGGTCGGGATACATGGATCCCTCTGGGTGCTGGGGTGTGGGTGGCTGGATCCGGTCTCCCAGCTGGTCCCGACAGATCGGGTCCTCTCCTCTCCAGGCGTTGGACGACCTGGAGAACCCGATCCATCCCTTCTCCCAAGCTGGCTAGCATCGCCGAATGCTCCCGCACCCGTGTCACGACTCCAGGCATGTGCTCCTCTCCTGCTGACTCCATGGCGGGTGTGTGATTCTGTGATGGGTGATTTGAAGGAGTCAGGCGCAGGAGGGTAAATCACAGAATAACAGGATTTATTCCGGAATACAGAGTTACGAAGTAATGCGTCAAAACAGTCCAGTGCGCAAAACAGGCGCACTGGAACCAACAAGGCACACGGGGAAAATAACCTGGCGATACAAAATACAAGGAGCTCAACCGAGCTTCACTGTCCTCACAATAAACAATCACACACAAAGAGAAGGGGGCAGAGGGAACACTTATACAGGTACTGATGAGGGGATATGAACCAGGTGTGTGTAATAAACAAGACAAAACAAATGGAATGATGAGATGAGGAGCGGCAGTGGCTAGCAGGCCGGTGATGACGAATGCCGAAGCCTGCCCGAACAAGGAGAGGAGGCAGCTTCGGAGGAAGTCGTGACATTAAAGCAATTTAGAATAAGGCTGTAACCTAACAAAATGTGGAAAAAGTCAAGTGGTCTGAATACTTTCCAAATGCACTGTACATCTTTTAGATGTCTATTCCAGACGTTGACATCGCGTGCATTTCAGGTGCTGAATGTAGGGTTAGAAGACACCTTTTCTGGACGTATTTTCCGGACGTTGAAAATACATATTTTCCGGACGTTGAAATCAGGTGCATTTTACGTGCTGAATGAAAGGTAGAAATACCTATTTTCCGGACATCAGAAATATGTATGTTCCGGACGTTGAAAATATGTCATTTACAGACATTGAAAATACATTCATTGATTACGTTCACCTTGTCCTAGAGAGATTTACACGATTATCAAAACATCACACCAGGGTAAGCTTACACTAAACACAGCCCTTATTTTACGTGTTTCTAAAATCCCCTATGGGAAAAATGAATGGTGGAAAAACGATTGGAACCATTTCCCTGTTTGATCGCTAGGTTTTATGGGTATTATGACTCATAGGCATTGGAAAACCTTCCAGGTCTTTGTGGTTGAATCTGTGTTTGAAATTCAGTGCTCGACTGAGAGACCTTACAGATAATTGTATGTGTGGGGTACAGAGATAAGGTAGTCATTCAAAAATCATGTTAAACACTATTATTGACTTGTTAAGTAAATATTTACTCCTGAACTTATTTAGGCTTGCCATAACAAAGGGGTTGTATACTAATTTTTAATTAATTTGAAACATTTAGAAAAACATAATTCCACTTTGACATTATGGGGTATTGTGTGTAGGCCAGTGACAAAAAAATCTAAATGTAATCCATTTGAGATTCATGCTGTAACACAACAAAATGTGGAAAAGGTCAAGGGGTGTGAATACTTTCTGAAGGCATTGTATGTCAAAGGTTGGTAGGATAGGTATTCAATGATTACATCAAGCTTGTGACTCTACAAACTTGTTGAATGCATTTGCTGCTTGTTTTGGTTGTGTTTCAGATTATTTTGTGCCCAATAGAAATGAATGTTAAATAATATATTGTGTCATTTTGGAGTAGCTTTTATTGTAAATAAGAATATAATATGTTTCTAAACACGTCTACATTAATGTGGATGCTACCATGATTACGGATAATCTTGAATTAATTGTGAATAATGATGAGTGAGAAAGTTACAGACGCACAAATATCAAACCCCCATGACATGCTAACCTCTCACCATTACAATAACAGGGGAGGTTAGCATTTTTGGGAGGTATGATATTTATGAGTCTGTAACTTTCTCACTCACATTATTCACAATTCATTCAGGACTGTCCGTAATCATGGTAGCATCCACATTAATGTAGGATCCAAAACAACAAAACGTTTGTCACCGTCCCAATACTTTTGGAGCTCACTATATATCAAGGGCATTTTTCCAACTCCTCAGATTGTTCCTGCTGTGAAAGGAACATTTCAAAAGCTAAAACATGTTTGCTGTGTAAACATGGGGGCAGTGTCTTGGGCAGTGTCTTGTTGTTTGGAAAAAGGATGATGACGCATTCCCTCTCTTGGTCCTTATCAGAATCTGTCCCTTCTTTTGCTAAATGCGATGGTTTTCTATTTCCCTGCATTGTTTTATCACAGGGCCTCTCCAATATACACTGTGCTATTAAAATTATATTTGTCTGCAATGGCCATGAAATACCTGTGAAGAGTACCTGTTCCAATCATTATAGTAAGTATGGACTCTTCTTTATTATCTAGCTATGGCAAAAACATTATTCATGATGACTGTCTTCTGCACAGATTGGGCATTTATTAGTTTTTCCCATGACGTTACTCAGGGTTAATTTATACTTTTAATCCTATTCAGAGAGATTTCTGTGAGGGTGACTGGGGACAGGCTGTGCATTTCCATAAACACTGTGACAGGAGCATGTGTAGGGAAAAGGGCTCATGGGACTAATTTCACACAGTATGCATTCCTAATTAATTAGGCAAATGAGTGAAGCCCTAACCACTTGATGACGAAGAACAGTTCACTTTGACATCTGTGTCAACTCTGCCTTTCAATTGGCTTGATGTTGCAGGAATGCTTGGTTTTGGTGTGAGGAAAAGACAGCGCAAGTCAATAGTAAGAAGACTGGCTGTAGGAATTCTGTTGACCAGTTTCATGGTGGTACTGCATTACTTATCTACTCCAGCAGTCCAACAAGTCAATCAACAAAAGTAAGTGTATGCTGGACTTTTGCTGTGAAATACAGTATACAGTGGGGGGAAAAAGTATTTAGTCAACCACCAATTGTGCAAGTTCTCCCACTTAAAAAGATGAGAGAGGCCTGTAATTTTCATCATAGGTACACGTCAACTATGACAGACAAATTGAGAAAAAACATTCCAGAAAATCACATTGTAGGATTTTTAATGAATTTATTTGCAAATTATGGTGGAAAATAAGTATTTGGTCACCTACAAACAAGCAAGATTTCTGGCTCTCACAGACCTGTAACTTCTTCTTTAAGAGGCTCCTCTGTCCTCCACTCGTTACCTGTATTAATGGCACCTGTTTGAACTTGTTATCAGTATAAAAGACACCTGTCCACAACCTCAAACAGTCACACTCCAAACTCCACTATGGCCAAGACCAAAGAGCTGTCAAAGGACACCAGAAACAAAATTGTAGACCTGTACCAGGCTGGGAAGACTGAATCTGCAATAGGTAAGCAGCTTGGTTTGAAGAAATCAACTGTGGGAGCAATTATTAGGAAATGGAAGACATACAAGACCACTGATAATCTCCCTCGATCTGGGGCTCCACGCAAGATCTCACACCGTGGGGTCAAAATGATCACAAGAACGGTGAGCAAAAATCCCAGAACCACACGGGGGGACCTAGTGAATGACCTGCAGAGAGCTGGGACCAAAGTAACAAAGCCTACCATCAGTAACACACTACGCCGCCAGGGACTCAAATCCTGCAGTGCCAGACGTGTCCCCCTGCTTAAGCCAAAGTACATGTCCAGGCCCGTCTGAAGTTTGCTAGAGTGCATTTGGATGATCCAGAAGAGGATTGGGAGAATGTCATATGGTCAGATGAAACCAAAATATAACTTTTTGGTAAAAACTCAACTCGTCGTGTTTGGAGGACAAAGAATGCTGAGTTGCATCCAAAGAACACCATACCTACTGTTAAGCATGGGGGTGGAAACATCATGCTTTGGGGCTGTTTTTCTGCAAAGGGACCAGGACGACTGATCCGTGTAAAGGAAAGAATGAATGGGGCCATGTATCGTGAGATTTTGAGTGAAAACCTCCTTCCATCAGCAAGGGCATTGAAGATGAAACGTGGCTGGGTCTTTCAGCATGACAATGATCCCAAACACACCCGGGCAACGAAGGAGTGGCTTCGTAAGAAGCATTTCAAGGTCCTGGAGTGGCCTAGCCAGTCTCCAGATCTCAACCCCATAGAAAATCTTTGGAGGGAGTTGAAAGTCCGTGTTGCCCAGCGACAGCCCCAAAACATCACTGCTCTTGAGGAGATCTGCATGGAGGAATGGGCCAAAATACCATCAACAGTGTGTGAAAACCTTGTGAAGACTTACAGAAAACGTTTGACCTGTGTCATTGCCAACAAAGGGTATATAACAAAGTTTTGAGAAACTTTTGTTATTGACCAAATACTTATTTTCCACCATAATTTGCAAATAAATTCATTAAAAATCCTACAATGTGATTTTCTGGAAAAATCATTCTCATTTTGTTTGTCATAGTTGACGTGTACCTATGATGAAAATTACAGGCCTCTCTCATCTTTTTAAGTAGGATAACTTTTGGTGGCTGACTAATTGGTGGCTGACTAAATACTTTTTTCCCCCACTGTATCTATCTATTATTTGCTATATGATGTGATTTACTTTTAAATCAATTCATTTGCCAGAAATAGGTAACATAAAAATAAATGTCAGTTTACTCATACTCTTTTTTCACTCTTTCTCTACAGGGTTACAGTGGCTCTGTCATGTTCTCACCACTTGTCTCAAACATGGGTCCACAATTTGACCAACTCCTCTCAAAGCAGAACAAGTCTATCAGGGGAGTGTGTGCCCATGGTGGACATCATGTTCATGAAGACCCACAAGACTGCCAGCAGCACATTACTCAACATCATCTTCCGCTTCGGTGAGAAGCACGGTTTAAAGTTTGCCTTTCCTAAAGGTCGCAATGACTTCTTCTACCCATCCCCTTTCCTTTGCTCCCAGGTCAAAGACTACCAGCCTGGGGCATGTTTCAACATCTTATGTAACCACATGCGCTTTGATGGGCATGAGGTGGCAAAGCTCCTCCCAGCAGACGCTGCCTATGTCACCATCCTACGAGACCCGGCGGAGTTGTTTGAGTCATCCTTCCATTATTACAGCCGGGTGGTTCCCCTCACCTGGGGGATCCGCGGAGATGACAAACTGGCTGAGTTTCTGCGCGAACCCAGGAACTACTACACCCCAGGGAGCTACAACTCATTCTACCTCAAGAACCTACTCTTCTTTGACTTTGGATTTGATAACAACTTAGAGCCAGACCACCCTCTGGTGGAGAGGGGTATTCAGACCTTGTCCCAACACTTCCAGCTGGTCCTGATGGCGGAGCATTTTGAGGAGTCTCTCATCCTGCTAAAAGATACACTCTGCTGGACGATGGAAGATATGCTGTTCTTCAAGCTCAATGCCCGCAAGCACTCATCTGTGTCACAACTGACCCCTGAGCTAAGGGCCAAGGCCCTGGAGTGGAACGGGGCCGACTGGCGGCTCTACCAGCACTTTAACGCCACATTCTGGGCCAAGGTGGAGGCATACGGGCGGACACGCCTGGAGCAGGAAGTGAAGGAGCTGAGGAGGAGGAATGCAGAGATGGCTGCCATGTGCATTGAGAGTGGGGGAGCAGTGGAGGCTGGGATGATTCGGGACACGGATCTGCTTCCCTGGCAGCCAGTTGGAGAGAACTCCATCTTGGGTTACAATTTAAGGAAAAACATAGACCCCAAATACAGGGAACTCTGTCGGAAAATGCTCACACCTGAAATACAGTACCTATCAGAGCTAGGGGTCAACTTGTGGCTCACAAGATTATGGGGTTGGTTAAAGGATACTATATTCTAGCTACAAACTAATTTATGGGAATAACTTGGATTATTCCTTAAGAGTATAAGGTGGGGGGGGGGGGGGGGGGGGGGTTTAGGACCCCTTTGGCCTTAATGCTATTAGCCCATAGAAACGCATTGAATAACAGATTCATACATGGAAAAACAGATAGTCAAAAATAAATCTAAAGGAAGTTTGTTTTAAAGTGTCTGTCCTATATCATCAGTGGAGGCTGCTGAGGGGACGATGGCTCATAATAATGGCTGGAATGGAGTCAATGGAATGGTACCAAACACGTGGTTTCCAAGTGGTTGATACCATTCCATTAACTTCCTTCCAGCCATTATTATGAGCTGTCCTCCCCTCAGCAGCCTCCACTTACTTCCATAAATATTTTAAACTGCTACCGGGCTATCTTCAGACGAGTTGTGAGGCTTGTGGGCATCCTAGAGCAAAGCAACATGTACGTGTTTGTGAGTCTCACCTTTCCATAGAGGGGTCATATTAGTGTGTAGCCCAAACTGTTCGGATGCTACAGACAGAAGTTGGCAGTTTGTCGGTACCGAATTCAGACGAGTCCCATGACGCTTGTGGGGGTCATAGATCAAATCTCTAGCTTAAACAGAAGTATTTTGATGGTGAGTTTGGTCTTACTGACGTTGAGGGAGAGGTTGTTGTCCTGGCACCACACTGCTAAGTCTCTGACCTCCTCCCTGTAGGCTGTCTCATCGCCGTTGGTGATCAGGCCTACCACTGTTGTGTTGTCAACAAACTTGATGATGGTGTTGGAGTCGTGCGTGGCTTTCTTTTTGTAATCTGTTATCGTCTGCAAGCCCTGCCACATACGACAAAGCCGGTGTAATAGGTATGATTCCTTCTTCCTCCTATATTGTCCCTTTGCATGTTTGATGTCTCGTCGGAGGTCGTAGCGGGCTTTCTTGTCCATGTTCGTGTCCTGTTCCTTGTAAGCGGTAACTTATCCTGATAATATCGTATCGTGAGGTCCCTTGCAATTTCCAGTGCTAGTTAATGATGTAGAGAGTCAGTGCTTTTGCAAAACTCTATTTTGTCCCCCCTAATGAGAGAAAGGAGATAAAGCCCACAGAACTGTTTAATGAGTATACTTCTCAATGGCAGACAGGAGCTGTGCACATATTGCAGTCTGCAACACACTGAGCCAGTGTTGAACTAGAGTAATTGAAAGTCACTCTGTCTGATAAATCTCCAATCGCACTGCAGCTGTTGATACAGATAGAGCTTTAGCAGGAAATGAGGTATACAATTAAATTATGGGACAATTTCGTTAGTGGCTTGGTTGTTATCACGGTTACATCAAATGCTGTATGGCAACAGCAGTGTATTTGTTGGCTGCTAGGGGGCAGTATAACACCTTCATACTGAAGCCCCATAAACACCATACAGAATCTGTTTCAGACAAAAATGTTCCAAATGTTCCAACTGGTTTATAGCATAATAAAACAATATACATAAATTAGTTTAACTAGATTGTAAAACTTAAGTTCATATTGGGGGTGGTAAAAATGTGCAGCCATGACATGTATGGTGAAAGTCCACTAAAAGATGGTCCCTCTCTCTCATCTCGCTTAAACCCAGCGGTGCAGTCTGATAATCCTAAGTGGATAGTCTGATAAAGTACTATTAATGGTTGTGAAGGGCAGTAGACCCTGGCCTCTGTAATGAGAAGACTGTATCGGACTCCATCTCCTGGGATCTATATTATTGCAACAAGGAAGTTGGGAGAAGACAAACCCATTTTGTGAGCTGGTTACCATGGAAACTTGTACAGTGGCCACCCCAGTACAGTTGTTTCATGATACAAATATATATTGATGGTAAACTGGGATTCATAGATGCTCAAAACACAGACAAGGTAATAATCATGACTACATGGGTGTGTATATTTTGTTTATTCAGCCTGTTGTACAATGTTGTTGATGAACAGTGAAAGTATTTCTCTCTCTCGCTCTCTCTCTCTCAAACGTCATTGCTGACATGCAAAATATTTTGGGACTGTATCAACAGTGGACTAATGAAACAAATACACTATATATACAAAAGTATGTGGACACCCCTTCAAATTAGTGAATTCGGCTATTTCAGCCACACCCGTTGCTGACAGGTGTATAAAATTGAGCAACCATGCAATCTCCATAGACAAACATTGGCAGTAGAATAGCCTTACTGAAGAGCTCAGTGACTTTCAACGTGGCACCGTCATAGGATGCAAACTTTCCAACAAGTCAGTTCATCAAATTTCTGCTCTGCTAGAGCTTCCCCGGTCAACTCTAAGTGCTGTTATTGTGCTGAAACAGGAAAAGGCTTTCCCCAAACTGTTGCCACAAATTGGAAGCACAGAGTCGTCTAGAATGTCATTGTATGCTGTAGCATTAAGATTTGCCTTCACTGGAACTAAGGGGCCTAGCCCAATTCATGAAAAACAGCCCCAGACCATTATTCCTCCTCCACCAAACCTTACAGTTGGCACTATGCATTGGGGCAGGTAGCGTTCTCCTGGCATCCGCCAAACCCAGATTCGGCCGTCGGACTGCCAGATGGTGAAGCGTGATTCATCACTCCAGAGAACGCGCTTCCACTTCTCCAGAGTCCAATGGCAGCGAGCTTTACACCACTCCAGCCGATGCTTGGCATTGCGCATGGTAATCTTAGGCTTGTGTGCGGCTGCTCGGCCTAGACGTTTCTACTTCACAACAATAACCCTGTGCACAAAGCGAGGTCCATACAGAAATAGTTTGTCATACAGAAATAGTTTGTCGAGATCGGTGTGGAAGAACTTGACTGGCCTGCACAGAGCCCTGACCTCAACCCCATCGAACAACTTTGGAATGAATTGGAATGCCGACTGCGAGCCAGGCATAATTGCCCAACATCAGTGCCCGACCTCACTAATGCTCTTGTGGCTGAATGAAAGCAAGTCCACGCAGCAATGTTCCAACATCTAGTGGAAAGCCTTCCCAGAAGAGTGGAGGCTGTTATAGCAGCAAAGGGGGGACCAACTCCATATTAATGCCCATGATTTTGGAAATTCTATGTTTGACGAGCAGGTGTCCACATACCTTTGGCCATATAGTGTTTTTCATTTGTGGCCATAACATCTTTATAGTTAATATACGTTAAAATGTGGATTAAGCATGAACTTGAACATATCTGTCACTGTCAGGCATTGTGTGTGAGGCATGATGATGAAGTGATTTCTATACTATTCTATAAATTTTAAAATTTTTGTTATTTTTGTTAGGGGTTTGATCAGCGTTAATATTGCAGATAGATTGTGGCTTCCATCAGTGTAATTGTCTGCATCATTTCCAATCCCCCATATATATATATATATATATATATATATATATATATATATATATATATATAAAATATGTTTTCCTTTATTATTTTCCCTAACCCTACCACCCCTCCCCTATTCTATTTGCCATATATTTTTCAACAGTGCTGTGATGTTTCACAAAAGTTCTGAACCTTTCTATTCTCATAGTTTCTGTAGCTCGTAAACAAAATATATATATTTTTTATAAGAGTATTATTATATTATTGATCGATTGACTATGCCTTTTTAAATCACCAAGCAGTGCTATTTGCATAGTTCGCTTCAGGTAATTCTTCAGCCATTCCTGAACTTGCGACCAAAAACTGTACCAAGACAAATTATCTAATGATTCTGTTTCTTCGCAGCAGAATCTGCAGAGCTGGGATGGTTGTATCCCCCATATATTTCACATTCTATTGGTTGCAAGAATTGTGTATAATAATTTAAATGGAAAAACGTTTTGTGTATCAGTTCATAAACCATGTGCCATGGATTCGGTACATACAGTATACAGTACATTCGGAAAGTATTCTGACCCCTTGACTTTTTCCACATTTTGTTACGTTAAAGCCTTATTCTTAAATGGATTAAATTGTTTTTTGTCCCTAAACAATCTACACACAATACCCCATAATGACAAAGCAAAAACAGGTTTTTATAAATGTTTGCAAATGTATTAAAAACAAAAAACTGAAATATCACATTTACATAAGTATTCAGACCCTTTACTCAGTACTTTGTTGAAGCACCTTTGGCAGCGATTACAGCCTTGAGTCTTCTTGGGTATGATGCTACAAGCTTGGCACACCTGTATTTGGGGAGTTTCTAGCATTCTTCTCTGCACAGCTATTTTCAGGTCTCTCCAGAGATATTAGATCGGGTTTAAGTCCGGGCTCTGGCTGGGCCACTCAAGGACATTCAGAGACTTGTCCTGAAGCCGCTCCTGCGTTGTCTTGGCTGTGTGCTTAGGGTCATTGTCCTGTTGGAAGATTAACCTTCACCCCAGTCTGAGGTCCTGAGCACTCTGGAGCAGGTTTTTATTAAGGATCTCCCTCTACTTTGCTCAGTTCATCTTTCCCTTGATCCTGACTAGTGTCCCAGTCCCTGCTGCTGAAAAACATCCCCACAGCATGGTGCTGCCACCACCACCATGCTTCACCGTAGGGATGGTGCCAGCTTTCCTCCAGACTTGACGCTTGGCATTCAGGCCGAAGAGTTCAATCTTGGTTTCATCAGACCAGAGAATCTTGTTTCTCATGGTCTGAGTCCTTTAGGTGTCTTTTGGCAAACTCCAAGCGGGCTGTCATGTGCCTTTTACTGAGGAGTGGCTTCCGTCTGGCCACTCTACCATAAAGGCCTGATTGGTGGAGTGCTGCAGAGATGATTGTCCTTTTGGATGGTTCTCCCATCTCCACAGAGGAACTCTGGAGCTCTGTCAGTGTGACCATCAGGTTCTTGGTCACCTCCCTGACCAAGGCCCTTCTCCCCCGATTGCTCAGTTTGGCCGGGCGGCCAGCTCTAGTTCCAAACTTCTTCCATTTAAGAATGATGGAGGCCACTGTGTTCTTGGGGACCTTCAATGCTGCAGAACATTTTCGTTAACCTTCCCCAGATCTGTGCCTCAACACAATCCTGTCTCTGACATTTCCTTCGACCTCAT